CCCCCCCCCAGTACCCGGATGTGTCACGTCATATTAGTGCGCTACGTCATACAAACACATGATCCAGGCGGATCTTCACCAGACCAGCAAGTGGCGCTGACGGTAGCGCTTTGGGTTGGCAACGGCTGGACTGTGACTGGGCAGGAAATGGCAGAAGGAAGTGACGAGTCAGGAAGTGAGATGGGATTCGAAGAAGATGGCGGGGGAGATAGTAGTGTATGGAATGTAGTACGATCGAGAAAACGGAAAAAAAAAGGAAATGAAACAACGAATATGGATGAAACTGATAGTGAGCAAAGTGTTATTGTAACAACAAGGCAGGAAGAAGAACATAAAGTGATCGTAAAATTATATGAAGAAGGGACGACGTTTGGTGAGTGGAACCCGGTTAAATTAACAAAAGCAATAAATAAATTGCTGGGTGAGATCAAAAATGCTAAGGTATTGAGGAACGGCTCACTGTTGATTGTTTGTAGAAATAAAGTGCAGCAAGAAAAAGCCTTACGACTGAATAAAATCGATAGTAAGAGACTGCAGTGTATTTGAGTACAAAAAATTGATTCGAGGAGTCATTTCAGGGATACCTACAGACATTTCAGAAGAACAAATGAAAGATAATATGACAGGGGCAAAAGTTTTGGAAGTAAAACGCCTTACAACAACTAGAAATGGAGAGAAATGCAACAGCTTGTCTGTTATGATTAAGTTTGATGAATCAAAACTTCCTGGCAAGGTGTACATCGGATACATGAGCTATGAGGTCAGGCCATATATTCCTCCACCACTGAGGTGCTTTAAGTGCCAGAAATATGGTCATGTAGCAGCAATATGTAAGGGCAAACAAAGATGTGGCAGATGTGCAGGTGAACATGAGTACGGAAAGTGTGGAGAGGGAGTAGAGCTTAAGTGCTGCAACTGTGGAGGACAACGCAGCTCGGCTTACCGCGGATGCGAAGCCAGCAAGAGGGCAGTGGAGGTGCAACGAATGAAGGCATTACAAGGAATAACATGCAGAAGCAGTAAAGAAAGTGTATAGAGAAAAGATTGTTTATAAACCAGCAAATAATGAAACTAAAGACGCAAACAATGAAACTAAAGATAGACCTTGCAGGAGCTGTGAAAAGATTATGGAAAAAAAAGGCGTGCTAATTATGAGCAAAAATGAATTTGTATTGTTCATGATTGAGGTAATCAATTGCTCGGCACAGACAGAAAGGAAGACTGGAAAGATCAAAATAATAGTTAAAGCAGCAGAGAAATATCTTGGGGTTAAAGGACTTAATTGTGAAGTAGTGGAAGAAATGTTAACTGCAGGAATCTCTAACTCTCAGTCATGGGTTGGTGGATCTACATGATTCTAGTTTTATTGCAGTGGAATGCCAGGAGTCTTATCGCTAATGGACAAGAATTCAAAAAGTTTGTTTCTGAGTTATCAGATAAACCTCATGTAATTTGTGTACAGGAGACATGGTTGAAACCACAGTTAGACTTTGTGATATCTGGATATACTGCAATCCAAAATGATAGGGAAATAGGAAAAGGTGGAGGGGTGGCAACTTTTATAAGAAATGGGATAAGATATAATATAATCAATAAAGGAAAAGAACATGAATCTATTATAATCAAAGCATGGACAGGAAGGAAAAATATAATGATAGTAAATTTTTATAATCCATGTAACAGACTGAGCATGGATATACTAAATGCAGTATGTAAGATTATACAAGGGGAAATAGTATGGTGTGGGGATTTTAATGCACACAGTACACTATGGGGGAGTAGGATTACAGATGCAAATGGATCAATAATAGAAGAATTTATAGATAATAAAAATCTGGTATGTATTAATGACGGAAAGGGCACAAGGTATAGTAGCACACATAACACCGAAAGTGTTATTGACTTGACAATAATGTCAAATGAAATTGCAGGAATCAGCACATGGGAGGTTTTAAACCAATCAACAGTAGGTAGTGATCATCATCCAATAATAACTAGGATTGGAGTAGAGATATATCAGGATAATGAAATCAGAACACCAAGGTGGAAGTTAGATAAAGCTGATTGGCAGTCATTTCAAATGCTG